ATAAATATGTTGTGGCTGTACTTATTTCATAAATTTTTAAAATAAATAAATTTGTGATTAATCCGCAGTAAACACAATTAGCTGAGGTAACGGCGCGCGTGTGACGCGTCCGGGCTGACCTCTGATCTCTCGTCCCACCGCTGAGCGCCGCAGCACGCATGCGCCAGCGCTACGTCATATCATACCTACTCTCCGATTTCACTTTTACCTAAATCTTAAATAACAAACCTTATTGTAATATCTTGTTATATATGAAAGTCAACCGTTAGACATCACTCGCATAATTTGCTAAAAATAAAGACACAAAAGTTAACTAACTATATAACTGTTATTCGTTGCAATTAGTACCCACAACAGCCACTGAAAGTGTTAACAAGTCAGTGCCCCAAGTTCAAAACAAAATCAACATTATTTTTGAACACTTAAAGTTACAGCGGCACAGACTGCTTTAAGGCTATTTTTCTCAATAATATAGGAATAGGAACTATCTAAGATTAATATTGTAATAGGTTTAAGTTTCTTTTTTGTATCCTAGAATGTAAGTATTTTGGCTCTTGCTGTAAACTTTCATTTTAATGTAAATAAATAAATAAATAAATAAATAAATAAGGAAATACAGATTCTGGCAAAGAGTTGCACTTTTTAGCAGTACGCACAAGGAGGCTTGATGCGAAACGCTTCATACGTGTGGGTGGGACATCTACCATGAATTGGTGACGCTTTGCCGATTGTCTTGTGGTACGATGATGGAAAGGACTAGGGGGAATCTAGTTGTGGAACTTCCTCTCCCTCCCACACTCACCGAAATGTATCCAGTAGAAAACCGAAAGGCAACCTTAAGCCTGTGTTCGAGGCTTTGAAGCCGAGCCTCCACAAGCGCATAATCGTTGATGAGCCTTTTGGCACGCTTCTTAATGTGCTCTAACGCGTCCAGCTATTATTTAGCCGAGCCATCCCAAAGATAAGAGCAGTACTCCATACAGGACCGAACCTGTGCTTGGTACAACAGCAATTATTTCGGCGTGAAGTACCGTCTCACCCTCCATAGGATATCCTAGGATATCCAACTTCCTCCCAGCCAGTTGCGCTTTTGACTCTATATAGGAGCCAAAGTTGAGTGTGGGCGTCAGAGTTACGCCAAGAAGCTGAAGATAGCTATCGGAGCGGATACATTCCGGAAACTAGGAGTCGGCGGAAATTGATTTCGTTCGGCAGAGAATAGAGTAAGTAAGAGGATAGGCTAAGTTTCGATGGAGTCAAAGGCCTTCTCATAGTCCACAAACACCAAACATAGCGGCAAGTTATACTCCTCGGTCTTCTGTATACTTTGCCGTAGCGTATGGATGTGGTCTATGGTAATTATAGCCTTTTCGGAAACTTGTTTTCTTTTAGCAATAAAACAGTTATTTTATAGCAAACAAAACCACGAGAAGTTAAAAGAAATTAAATATCCATCAGACTACAAAAATGAAGTTGATTATTATTAAACTGAGAGAATATTACTATTATGCTCGAGTGTAATCTCGTTAATCTCATGAGATCCCCATTTTCTTTCGCGGTTAATTTGCCGGTATTTCTTAATATCTACATGTTGAGTTTGGTCATTCATTGGAAAGTTGTCACGCAAAAGTGTTAACTCGAAACGTGCAATATTTGTATATTATATATATACATACTTCTAACACTAGTTAATGAAATATTTATAGTTGTATAAGTTGGTTGGGGTCTAAGGGTGCGGATTCCACAGAAGCGGAGCGTACGGATTTCTGCGGAACAGAGCTGTCTGCAGAGAGTGTGTGTGAGTGTGTTTCCACTACAGCTGCGCAGAGATGTGCGGTGCAGGGTTGACCTGTATAGCTGTGTAGAGTGGAGAGCTGAGATAAGCGGAGTGGAGCTGAGACGACCGGAGCGGAGTTGTGAAGTGGAGATGAGCTGAGCAGGGCTGTGAATACATTTAGCACAACAACGCATTACATAACACAGCTCTACTAGCTCGACACCGCTGTGCCCCGCCTCACCCGGCAGCCCGGCACTCACGGAGTGAGATTTTCCTCCTTAAAAGTCTATCTTGTATCCCGTAGGAAATAAAATTGTTTTATAAGTCGCAGTTTTACAGTGCGTGCGTAGCGGCGCGTCTCGGTGTGAGTTGACTCCACACGCGCAAGAGAGGAGCGGCGCATGGCGCGGCGGTGCGCTAGTCAGCTAGTGTATGTGTCGGCTCCCACAGCACTCTGCTCTGAGAATATACTTTTTTGACAGCCTACCTTTATTGTCGGAGAGCTGCTGATTAGTTTTTGTTAGTTAGAAAGTATAACCACGGCGATGTTATAAGAACTTTGTAATGGCATGGCAGTCATACATGCTAGAGTTTACATGATGGTTTTAACTTTACACATATAACTGCATCATCTGATGGTAAGCCATCGGCGTCTCTCATGGACACCTGGAATACGAGAGGTGTTATAAGGGCCGGTCTTTTGGGGATTAGGAATTTGAGGATTGATGGGGATTTAGGGATTAGAGAGGAGGGGGGGGGGGTATTGGGCCTCCGGTAACCTAACACAACGCAAGCTTTCTTTCACGTCGGTTTTCTGTTTTCTTATAAGTACGACAAAATAAAAAATATGTGTCTAATATGTTTTCATTATCTAACTGACGGACAAATTACATTTTTAATTTACATACACTTTCTCCTACCCTATTGTACCTAAGTATTATAATTATAACCGTACAAGTCCTAGACATTTTTTTATTATCAAATATAATTTCTTATTTATTTATTACATAGAATATGATAGACGTCCGATGTGAAGTAGAGCCATGTGAAGCAAGAATGATTGTTTTTGGCACGTAGCTTTACATGTACATAGTAATACTTATTGCTAGAATAATATCGTTGCAGGAAAACGTAATATTATTACGATGAGTAATGCGGTAGCGGATCACAAAGAACGCTCTACTTACTAGAGGTCACGGCGCGCGGCGCGGCGCGGCGCTACGTGTCAAGTAGAAGCGAATGAAAATATTAGCACGCGACTGATTGGCTCGGTCAATGTTTGCTCCACAAATACTTGCGCTGGTTCACGCACGTTACCTCTACCCTCAACCCACACAAGTACACATTACACATGACATACACTGCCGTTCATATGTTTGGAATCACTACTATTTATGAAAAATACTAACTTATTCCGACACTTGTCAGTATATTGTTTACGTTCTTTTACGAATATTTATGTAAAAATAAAATAATCTGATAATAAAATAAAACGAAGAAGATCTGTGTTGTAGTGGCGAAGGCAGGTCGCAGTGTTTGTGCACAACAACCGGTCTGGCCGGGCGCACGCTGGTGCACGGCGCGCCGGGGCGCCCCGGCCGGCGGCGGCTGGCGGCTGGTTGCTGGCACTGGCATGTCAGTGACAGCGCATGTTGCCATGGCCAGGATGGTAACAAAAGTTCGTCGCCCTGTTTACTCTATTTACGCATTGCATTGTTTAGCGTTAAATTTAGAAATACGTAATAACTATTCATAGAGTGTAGGGACAGACAGACAACCGTAATATGATTTTGACCGACAAATTGGGTCAAAAACATTTGCTAGGTATAGTTATTTGCTGTTGGTTGGGTCCATCAATACACACGTGCGAACTATAATAAGTCATTTTTATCAGATGCTCAGATTTTTAACTGAGGAATAACTTTCAATATTTGACAAGTCTTCCATACTTAAAGCTGTCAACTGTCAATTCTATTCTACAGTTAAGAATTAACTGATGATTGAAAAATCGGCCCATAGACAACTCGTCACGGTAGGCGGATAGGTTAGAATGGTAAAGCTACCGTCATTCGTATGGTTACTTCAGAGTCTGCAGTACCTTGCGCATAGGGGCCCCGTCTACTATACTGCAGGGGTCATCTCCCCACTTACTACCACTTCTTTCTCTTCGAAGCAATTCGATAAAAGTGAGACGTACTTCAAAACTTTTACTATTTTTTTGATACTAAAAAACCAAGTACCAATATTAAGGTGGTCCTGGATTTCCAAACTAGTTTTGCGAAAGAGTATTTGTATATTTTACATCATACTGCGATCCTCAAAAATGAAAGTCCACGATCTACGTTACCTTTAGAACATTGGAAAGCAATAAAGTTTAGTAACGATTACGACAACGAGCGCTGGTCGCATCGTGGGCACGCGGTGAAAGCTAAGCCGACGCGGGTCAGCGCTCAGCACTCGCGTGCCCAGCATGTCAGCTGTGTGGACCTGTGCGACCAGCGCGCGACTGGCCCGGGCAGGACTTCGGAAGTACACAGGCATGCAAATGCGGTTTGACGCGACTCGGGTCACTTTCGATCCGATGCCATTGTGATGAAATCGAGAGTGGCATTCGATTCGGGCATCGAGTGAATGCGCGCCGCGGCCGTACCCGCTGTTTTCACCTGAGAGACGAAACGTGCGCGCTCAAAGCTGACGCTCCCACATAGCATAAGATATTGCGTTATCACTTTCACCGTTTGTAGAAAATCATTTATATATTTGCATACCGAACAGTTGCGTAATGGACGAACAGGTTAAGGTAACTGTTGTACAAGTGCGAGGTCACAGCACGGGCACGACGCGCGCCGCTCAGCCGTGCAACTATCTACTGCAGCGAGCTTGCGTCACGCGCCACGCCGTGCGGCACTGGAGATACGACATACGAGCTAGCTACGAGCACATCTTGTGTGCCGTCTAGCGTCTGTCCAGCCGACACGATTGCTAATCTATACATGTGATATTGGCATGTCATTTCTATTTAAACCTATTATCGATGAAATTGACATTACCGTTATTGCATGTACTCCGAGTATATTTTAAGTTAAGCAATGTATAGCATAAAGTGGGCATAGAAAGATCGACCGGATCCGACCGAAACAGCATGTTAGTGGATAGGACACATGGGAATGTTATTTCCATATCTACTAGTACTTATTTTTTGTAAGAAATTAAAATAACTGACCTTAATCCGGTTCCGCCTGTTGGCGCGCAGGATGATCCCGTCGTTCTCGATGTAGTCGGGAACTTCCTTGCGGTTGGAGAAGTTGAAGACGACAGAGGTCGAGGCTGGCGGCGGGCCGCGGCCGCGCCGCGCCTGCGCCGGGCTGCCGCGCGCCCACGCTGCGCCTGCGCCTGTCGTCACCTTCTCCGGGCTCTTTTTCTCCGCGGACCCGCTCCAGGCTCGCTCGATGCCAGCTGCACCAATACGTGACGTAGTCACTTTGTTTTCTGGCACTGCTTCGCTCTCCAAGTGTCCGTTTGTTACTTGACGAGTGATGGTTTCTGGCTGCTTCGGTTTCGTTTCTGGGCTAGGACTGCGTTCAATGGAAGAGGGTGCGGGAGGCGTGGACGAGCGGAATGACTCAGGTGGTGGTCGTGGAATTGGTTCCACTAGCGCTGCTGGAGGAGGTTCTCGTCTTTCGGTGCGACCTGGCGGAGTCTGTTCGCTTTCAGCAGACGGTGGAGGGGAGGGTGACACCAATCTAGTAGTACGCTCGGTGCTCTTCTCGTCAATATCTTCGACCGATTCATCAGTAGCGCAATCGGCAGCACGGGCTGGCATTGGACGAATGACACCTACACGACGTGCGCGACCCACTAGAACTTGATTGGTAGCAGCTAGCGGAGGCAAATGTGAGGCTGCTCGAGGTACTTCGAATGCATAACGGACAGTAGAGCCGGCGCGAGCAATACCATCGAGAGCAGCGCGAGATACAGGTCGGGAGCCCGAGGGTAGCAGCGCATTCTCTGCGTCTTCAGTATTGGCGATCGGAACAGGCACAGGCGACATGGCTTCAGTCGCTGGCAGTGGACTAGGCGTACGGGGGCTGAGCGGTGCATCTGACGATTCGCGGGGTTCAGGCGTAGAAGTCCGTGGCCCTTCGAGACCACGCAGCACCGCAGAGATACGGACAGCGGGCGGAGCTCGACGCGTCGGCGCGCTTTCGAATTTACGGAGGGTCGAGCGGACTACGTCGGGAGGAGGCCGTTCCGTCTCTCGTAACAATGGGGTTGGTCGGCGAGGAGGGCGCGCGGTACGAGGTTGCGCAGGCGGCCGCGGCGCAAGGGGCGGTGGGGGTGAAGGCGATGGTGCTCGGGGCTCATCACGTGAATCTAACCGACTCAGTGCGTCTACAGAGCGCGCTCGTTTTACGGAGTCGCGACGCGTGGAAGGCATCAAAGGTGCTGGTGCTACTGCCATAGACGCAGGACGCGGAGGCCGTAAGTTATTACGAGGTGCAGGCGCAGGTGGCGGTCGATCATCCAGCAAATGTTCGAGCGAGGTAGCGCGTCGCAACACTGAGGGGCGGCGGCGCGGGGCGTCCCGCAGCGCTAAGCTCAAGTAGCGCGATTGAAGGCGTTTTACAATGCCAGGTCCGTAGCGAAGTTCCTCGTCTTCTTCGTCGTGTGGCGGCGGCGGGGGTGGTGGCGGAGGCTGCGGCGGCGGCTGCGCTGGCCGACTGCGGGCGGCTGCGCGTCGCTGCAGGAGCTCGCGCTTCCATTGCGGCAGTGCTCCGTTCGACATGCCTGCGTACAGGGTGCCAGGGTTAAACAAGTGCTTATCGATGATAGTTATTTGCATATTAATATCTTAAAAGTGGGCAAGTAGAGAAAAATATATCGTTTCTTTTTTCCTATTTTCGTTTGCGATTCCGCAAGCGATAGCGTAGTGTGACGTCACATCGCTAGTAGGAGATTACATTTTATTTTTTTTATTACAGTCACAACGGTTTAGAACAAAAACCAATGACAATTACATAATTAAGTCCTATAGATTAGGTAGTATAGATGAATTAGTTAGTTGCGCTCGATATTGTTTTGAGTTTCTTAGGGCTACATTTCACTGGGACACCATGGCGGCGCAACTAATCGCGCCACCGTGGTGTCCGTAAGCTAAGAAATAGACACCAGAGCGGCAGAGCCTACACACCACACACTGCGACAGAGAATAACCAGCGGCGGCGTGACGCGCTGAAATATAGCCCAAGTTTATAACTAAAGTGATTTAGAAATACACTATTGTATCTTTGTGCACTAATCTCAGTGATAAAATAAGAATAGTTATAGGTACTAGGCGCATTCTATAAGGTACTCCTCGGGGATATAAATGTGTGATGATTATGTTGTTGTTTTGAATGTAATGTAATTTTGAAAGTACTTTATTTTATTTTATTTATCAAGGACAACAAACAACAGTATATTAAATATAATACGGGTGAGTAAAATAATAGATTTAACAAATACACTCCTCACGACGTTGCCACGGATTACCAAGTACTTGTTGATACAAACACTGGAGTACTGGAGATAATAAGCAAAAATAAAACTGAACACAATTATTATGAAGGGTAATAGCGATGGGAATGGGACGCCATCATAAAAAAGCCATTTTTAAATTCACGTAAATTAAATAAAAATGTGATCATACTAAAATGAAATTCTGGGCAATTTCGATGAAACTTAACATAACATCACGCCTTATATCCCCGAACCGAAGGGGTAGGCAGAGGTGCACATTATGCTACTATACAATGTAACACCCACTTTTCACTATTTATGTTATGAGTCCCATGTAATAGAGGGTGAGCCTTTAAATGCCATATACCGGGCACAATTCCAGACTCCCTGATACTACTATTTTTTAAAAACCCAGTAATACTTTGCCCGACCCGGGAATCAAACCCGAGACTCCTTGCCCGGCAGTCGTACTTGCGACCACTCGGCCAACGAGGCAGTCTCGAGCATTTCGATGAAACAAAATCTGCAAATTATTGTTATCAGGATGCGCATTCGACGCATTAAGTTCAATCGTAATATTTTGAACTGATGACTCATTGAAGTTATTAAAAAATGCAATACAACATTACTTACAATTACCCCATACACATTTATGGATTTTATTAATAGATATAGGAATTCCCCTCAAACATAGGAACCGGAAAGTTGGTAGTTCATACATAAACATATCCGTACAACATATTGTTACGAAAAAGATGTTTAGACCATTTACTGAAGAAAGAAAAAGCGAATACTAGCACAAGTTGTGAGTTGGGATAAATATTAGTAAAATATTAATGACGCTTTTTTGGGTAAGATATTGATATACAGTCAGGCAACTTTTTAATTTAACTGCACTACATAGTCTGTGTGCAGCGTGCCAGCGAACATTAGACACCTTGAACTGATTAAGTCTAGTGTAAATAGAACTTACAATATTAAAGGAATAAAAATAGTCATTATATGTATGTGTGTTAAAGTATAAAATAGAGATACACTATCCTAGTTAATACTAGTTATAATAAACGAGAAAGTAAGTTTTTTGCCTCTTCTCTTTACACTTTATAATACTCAGCCAATCTTCTTGAAACTTTGCAAACAATTATTTATGATTATTTATTTATCTTAAAATTTGTGTGATTTAAATATAAATATGTTAAGTATATTATAAGTTAAGCCCCACAAAACCATTGCAATGGTTTGACTGTGGGGTCGAGTCACTAGGCATTACAATTAAATGTACTTATAAATATTATACAGGCAGAAGATGTATGGAAGACCTAAGCTACCTTTTCAACATACGAAAAGTTGCAGACAAAAGCTACCATACACATTAACCTTGCATGCATGTTCAATCAGGCAATACCTATGTATGCAAGTCATCAGGTCATGAGCATAACTACCCGAGTTGTATCATCCTGTTAACTGTTCAGTTTCAGAGCATACATGTCAGTTATGCACGCCAGGTTAGAACCACCATGCAAACCATAAATGTAGAATCGAGTAGCCAGTGGCGGCAGATATCTAATACTAGCTGGGGCTGGCTATTACCGTCACTAAACTAACATCACTGTAATCACAATCAAAGCTCACAGGAAATACGCATTGAGTTATTTCCTACCACATCTACTTGTTATCTTACTTGTTATTGTACATTTTACATGTACACCGCAGTCTGTAACCATTTAACAATCCTTCCATGCCATTAGTTTACTTTGAATTTTCCTTATACAATAACCATATAACCTATTTATAACAAGCTATATCAATTTACATGATAGTTTCCCTATGAATTCCCTACAGCTATAGGAGACTCCATTTTATATATAAATTATTATAGGTACTTCTAATGTTAATAAACAAGTAGTCTGTCTAAGCTTCCCAGTACATGAACTGCTTTTGTGAATTTATAAATGTCACAAAAAATTGTGTAATTATTGGGACAAGCAAACAAGCAATTAATTATTATAGATATATATTTCATAATATGAAGGCAGAGCAAGTATTGTTCAACCAGGCCTTTGCTTATGTTAGATAGTTACTGTTTCATGTCGACAGTCACACTTACCAAAGTCCTGAGAGGACTCCAGGATGGTTTCCACCATCATCTTGAGGCAGCCGCACCAATTTTAAGCCACTGAATGCAAATGCAAAATAAAATGTTAAGCTTCATGAATAGCTTGATCAAAGGCAATAAAACATAATATAGTTAAAGGACAAGGGGTAACATTACAAGTAACATTTCTAGCTAACTTGTACATACATTTAGAGGAGATCAGATACCGGCACACAATGATATCTCAATGCAGGATAATTGTAGACACTCACACCATGTCCTTATAGCTGCATATTCTTACTGATTATAGTTTAATTGACTTTATATCATACACTAATTGAGTGTTCCACTAGTCAGGTCTGTCAAATAATTATGCTCTGTTCATTATACTTCATGTTATATCATTGCCCTAAACTGTAATACAACTGGTAAGTTTCAAAATATACTTGTCTTATTGTTCAAGCACCGAAATGTATGCAAGTATCAGTAAAGGTGGAGAATTTAATTTTAAATTCTATAATAAAATTTATATAGATTTGGGTAAAGACAGTGAGTAACATTGGTCATGGAAAGGGCAATGCAAGCCCATAGATCTGTTAAGCACAACATACACTTTTAGTTACTACTAAATGAACAAAATCCAATCATATTTGAATTTTACTGAGTATTTAAAACTACAATATATAACAAGTTCTTTTTCAGTAAGCGATATTAGTACTGCTTGAGGACAGGTAAGACTCCCTGGATCCAGAAGACTATTACACTTACTTTACTGATTGTAAAACAAATATAAATCATATACATATTAAGTGTATTGTCACACCCAACTATTCTAAGAGGCTACAGGTAAACGAGCTGCAAGTACTACAGTATACAGCTGTGGCGGCGGCGTGCACTGCTCGTCGGCGTCGATGACCCCGCGATCTAACTAGCGTCTGTCTAACTGTAGTTGCTACTGCTTGGCGGGTGTACTCAGCGCACCAGACGACGTGTTGCCACAAACATGAAGCTGGTGTGTGAGCTTTTACACCAATAATAGCTTCTTCATTCGGGCGTCATAATTCCACTACCGGTGAATTGATTTATTTCATGCTTTGTACAACTCTTATATCTTACCTGTTAAAAATCCATCGACGACGGCATGTCGAGATATATCGTTCCAGGAGCAACTTTATGAATTGTTCAGAGCGGTACCATTATGACAAATAAATGGATATACTATGACGATCAACGTTCCATGTAAAATATCACCCACGACGACAAATCGAAAAACACTTGAACAGATTTATCATAAACACATTTTATACGTACTTTGTACTTAATATCACACAAACTCACTTAAACGATCTATGCAAGTAAAGTAAAATCCTTATACAATTTGTTAAAACAATATTGGTCTTTAATCGGACACACTGCAATCTACACTATAAAGTTGATTCACTGAATTGATTACAGAACACACAAACGCGACACATTATTAAATCCTGATTCCTGAACGGAACTGATCAACTCAGACACACCAACCAGTCACCGAGTTTACTGACATCTGACATCAAATCAATGACATCTAACATGATGACATAAGCGAGACCACAGAATGATGAGACTGAAACATAAGTCCATAGACTATACTGTTCATGGCGGACTGCGGTGGACTATTATAATAAGAAATCGTTATATGTTTATTATAGTGCCTTACAAAGATATATTTTAATTGCCTGCCTTGCAATAAATAGAGTCGCCGTAATGTTATACAAACGTATAGCTTGGCAAAAATAATCTGACGCAGTGACAGCTCATTGATCTATGTAATTTAGATTCGAAATAATGTCTATGGGCAGAATTTAAGATGTAAATCTCTCGACGGTAAATTAATAAACATACTGTCCTTTTTTTAATTATATTTCTTCGCGATTATGTCAATTTTGTGATTGTTCTTATTGTAATGTATTTTAATTGAAATAAATGTCTAGTCTAGCTATCTACAGCAGCTGCAGGTAGGCAACTTTTGTTGGCCAGACTGCTCATTTCTTCCGTAGGTATTTTCCATCTATATGATATAAATCAATGACCGTAGAGAATGGAATCTTTGGTGTTGAAATAGCAGAGGAAAATAGTACTTGTACAATTCCATACTATGTGCACAACGTGTGTAGATGGAACTATAACACTTGTTTTGGTTCTCGAGGTAGTACTGACTAATGAACAGGGCCGTCACTAGCGCCGTATCTGCCATAGCAATTACACGGGGCCGTGGAACTATGAGGGCAATAAGCTCTAATTAGGTACATAAGCAAAAATTAATAAAAACTTTTCAATTCTTATTTTGTTTCAGTAATCGCAAAAGTCAAAAGTCTCAATAAATGATATTTTTCCACGTAAAGCATGCGTGCAAAGGTTGGCAGAAACTTTAAGATCATTAATATTATTTTATGCAAAAACTTTTTTCTCGTGAGAGAAATCTGTAGGTACCGTTCACAAAGGCCAAACCACAAACACATTTTTATACGGTGACATTCCTAATGAATAAGTCAGTGATTAGGGTAAGGGTAAAATCGACATTATTCGTGTTTTTACGGTTCCGTACCCAAAAGGGGTAACATGTTACTAAGACTTCACCGACTCCTCGACGACGACGTCCGTCCGTCGCACTTGCCTAGTTTTTTTTTATAAATATTATGTTATACTAATTTATATATTATTAACTATGTAGTACTAATCTATACTTCTGTCTATACTATCCATAGTATCCATAATACCAGGATGGACCCCCGTTCTTCCCTGAAATGGGGGATGAAAGTTTCTGTGGAGCATTCCGCATTTTTCATGGTAGAGAGTTAGAAATTAGTATGCGGACTACTATACTACAATATTTACTTGTAAACAAAAAATAAAATATTTGTCTCTTCTTCTCGAGATTGACCCGGTGCAAATGGGTATTGCGTCCCGCGACCCGCAAGAAAAACGATGCTCAATCCCCGTCTTCCTCTCCTGCTGACTACTTCACTACTAACACTAAGTATTTATGTGTTATTCTGATTTTTGTGTGGATGTAGATTGTTTGCCAGTACTGGATTGTGTTGTGAGCTTTGTGTCATGGTTGATTGAGTGGTGTGAGGTGTGTGCGCTTGGAATGGTTGTATTTGATCGGAATCTGGAATGTTTGTGACGAAAATTGTATCTCCTAGTACATCATTATTAGCAAAGGCTAATAAATGCTTGCTTCTGTAGAATTGTAATGTCTATTGATGATTCTAGTTTGTCTGGGTATCTGCTGAGGCTCTTGGCTACTACTTCTGTAGCTTCAATTACTATGGGGATAACATGCGTTTCAGTATTCCAAATGTGTCTAATCTCTGTCTTTAAAAAGTGGTATTTACCCAACTTCTCTATTTACCCAACTTCTCTATTTACCCAACTTCTCTATTTACCCAACTTCTCTATTTACCCAACTTCTCTATTTACCCAACTTCTCTATTTACCCAACTTCTCTATTTACCCAACTTCTCTATTTACCCAACTTCTCTATTTCTTTTGCTCCTGTTTTGTATTCACTTGGTATAGTTATGTCAATGAGGTATGTGGTGTTGGATGTTTTTTTTAAGTATATTATGTCCGGTCTGTTGTGCCCACAGCTGTGACGTCTGTCTGAATCGGGATTTCCACATTATTTTCTTGTTACGTTTTCAACTACTTTGGGTTGGGTGAGAGTCTCTTTCCACCAAAGTTTGTCAATGTCCATGCCATGCTTTCGAGCGAGACATCAGAAGATGTACTGGACAAGATTATTATGCGGTTTGACGTACTTAATAGGTTCCTGCCAATTTTTCGCAGCCAGATATTATGTGCTGCGGAGTTTCGTCTTGCACAATTGGAACTTTTTTATGTACTATCTCGCCTGGTGGTAAGTGATTATGCGGTCTACGATGGAGCGCTACCATACCGTCCACTGGGTCTTTGAGGATGTCGCGTTGATGTTGTCGCGTCATAACCGCTTGGTCCTGTATCGCAATCACGGACGACTCTGTTGATGGGGAGACCTGAGGCCTTAGTACGAGTTTGTAAAGTAATCGTAACGAGTACGCGTTCGGCGCTCTGATTGGTTGGTTCATTGGCGCCGTCCAATCAGAGCGCCGAACGCGAACTCGTTACGAATACTTTAAACGTAAATGAAACTCGTACTAAGGCCTGTGTTAGAAAGGTGTGTGGGAGACATCAGAAGAGGTCATTGAGAGTCATTTACCCAGCAGAGGTATGACCACAGTTAGATGTCGCAGAGATTTCATTAGGTCTGCTTAAAACCAGCTATTTTATTACACAAGTCAAACCAATAAATTGAAGTGGTTACCTATACGCCAACGTAGGGAGCAGAGGGCTTTAACTACTTTATTCTCTCTTCTTGAATCCCCTTTTTCTCCTAACTATCTATCCACCTATTTTCAATCCACCAGTGCAAACCACAGTAAATATCTTCGTTCTTCCAACAATCGCCATCTACAGTGTGTCAGTCATCGCACTGATTTACTTCATACAATCTGTTATCCTGTGGAATGCCCTACCCACGGATTTCAGGACGGCGTCCAGTCGCTTAGCTTTTAAGATTAAAGTTCGGGAGCATCTTCTTCAACAATTGGTGGATTCATTTCAAACCTAAATCTCTTTTAATTTAATATTTTGTATTATATTTTATAATGTACATAGATTTCTATATATATATATTTATTGTATATACATATAATTACTTTAATATTGTATACATAATTATTGTTATATGTAAGTAAGTTTAAGCTTTCAAATATCTACCTATATAGTGTTTATTGATTGTGAGATTTTGTTATTTATTATACTGGTACATTGTCTAAAATCACATGTTACTTTCATCTCTGCACTGCTTAAAGGTTGTCTGGGAGACAATGCCCAAGGCATTAAGTCCACCTGTACACATTTGTTGTATGAAGCTGAAATAAATTAAAAAAAAATACGAAATTTTTTAAAATCCCAACAATTATCTAGCTTTGATAAGCTTAGGTACATTTGTTACACCGACCAGTC